AAAAACATATCTTTATATCCAGGTGTTTAATTAGGGGTTTCCTCTTAATGGCTTTTTGATGGTCTGCTTCTGTTTTATGGGTACTTTTAAATTCTGCTTATTTCTAATCTTGTGTGTGTTTAATGGTGTGTGTTTGGTGTAGTGGTTAGAAGCTCGGACTCTGATCTGGGAGAACCGGGTTTATTTCCCCACTCCTCCACATGCAGCTGCTGGATGACCCTGGGCAAACCACAGTTCTCTCAGAGCTGTACTCTCAAGAGCCATCCTCAAAGAGCTCTCTCAGCCCCACCTACATCACAGGGTGTCTGTTGTGGAGAGAGGAAGGGAAGAAGATTGTAAGCCACTCTGAGACTCCAAGTGAAGGGCAGAGTATAAATCCAATCTCCTCCTCCTCCTCCTGTGGTTTTTAATTGTAAACTGCACTGAACAGAAGAGGCGGCCTAGAAATAGTCTAAATAAAATGAATGAATATAGTTACAGTGGCATAATTCATTTTTAACAACGTTGGTACAACAAAAGGCACTTTCTCAAAAGAGACTAAATAGATCGAGAGCTGTCCGGATTAATTGGCGTATCAAAAGTTTAAGGATGCTGAAAAACTGGGTAGAATTTGTAAACTGATTCTAGGATATACTGCATAGAGTTGTAAGAATAGGTGTAATGCATTCTAGATAATGATTTTGGAAACTGAAATAGTAATTTAATATCTAGAGGATAAATTGGTTTGTAAATGTAGCAGCTTTATTTATTTTGTAGCCCTCGGATATATATAATCAGAAAGACATGCACCTAGGGGTGTGATATGGCTGACTCCTGGTTGGGAAATACCTATGAGAGGATGGAGTCTGGGATGGGAGAGAGCTCTGCAGGGATGTTGTGCCAAAGAATCCACCCTCCAAGGCTGTCAGGTTCTCCAGGGGAACTGATCTGCAGTCTGGAAATATGTTGTATTTCCAGGAGAACTCCAGGTCCCACCAGGAGGTTGGCAAGTCTAGCTAGTAAAGATAGATCTAGAGTGTACAAGGATTCAAGCTAGACTAACAATCAAATGGACAGAAGTAGCTCTGCTATCTTGACTGAAGTTAACCACTTTGTATCAGGTAAGATTTTTCTCTCTTGGGCTTTAACTCATTCCGTAGAAGAATATGGACAAAGTTTGAGTCTGGCGGCACCTTTAAGACCAACAAAGTTTAATTCTGGGTATAAGCTTTCATGTGCGTGCCACACTTCTTCAGAATATGAAGGTGATGAAACAAACTATTCTGTGATACTATCCACTTTGTTTTGCATAAGAAAATTGCCAACAGTTGCTCAAGGAGAAACCTATTTAATAATATAATTTCACACACACACATACAGAGAGAGAGAGAGAGAGCTTTAGTCTCTAATTATATATTCGGAAATATGTCTAAGGAACTCTTCATTATACAAAGCAGATGAAGACTTTCAGACTTCTGAATAAATTACAGCAGAGAAAAACAAAACTATCATTCAGGCAGAAAATGCCTTCATCGTTTTTAAACTGTCACTGAGCATACCTATGATATTAGAGCCATAACTCAAAAAACTGTCAACATTATGAAAGTGCTGAATGACAAAAGGGACTTTCCCTAGATTTTTATGAGACAGAGGAAATTGAGAGACTCAAAGAATGATTTTTATATCTATCTTTTAAAATGCCTTAAAACACAGACCAGGAAAACAGAACAACTGTCTCTGGAATTTTTTCCTGTGGTTTACAGTATGTTATTTATTTAAAACATTTTTATGCTGTTTTTTTACCCAATCAGGGCCAACAAGGCAGCAAACATAAAAACGTTAAAATACCTATACACTTATAATACAATTAAAATATAAAATGCAATTAAAACACATAAACAAACAACGTTAGGAGGAGGGCCAAAATCTGTTTTTGGGGGTATGCCACCTGCTGGCAAAAGACACCGATAGAGGGAGGCAAAGAAATCTCCCCAGGGAGGGAGTTCGAAAGTTTTGAGGCCACACTGGAGGAGACCCTCTCTCGGGTCACCACCTGTCTAGCCTCAGATGGTGAGGGCAACCACTGCAGAGCCTCCAAGGTGACCAGAATGAGTGGGTATGTTTGTATAAGAGAAGGCGGTCCTAGAAATAATATTTAATGTTTTTATTGTGCAGTAAAATTGATCCAGCACTAACTTGTCCAAAGTGAATATTCATGCACTCCCATTAGGTATGAATTCATTTACAGAAGATGCCTAATTTGTATAAGAGTCCATGCTTTCCCTTCTATTTTCCTGTTACCCAAATCAATCAGTTGTGCTGCTGTTAAAATGTTGCCTAGTAAATGACAATGCCATAGCTAAGACAGCAGCAAGATTGCAGGACAAAACGTCCCAGAATGATCTAGGGCAAGATCTAACCCTAGGCAGAAGTTGCCAAGGCAATATCACCAGTGAACAGCTGTGGGGTTTGGGGAGAGGAATTTTACATCTCTGGAGGCCATGGATGATCCCTTCTTAAGGTTTCCAGGTAGGACCATTTGAGGGCAGGACATGGGAAGGGAAGCAACACTTGATATAGAACCGTCACTTCTGGATGAAGACCCAGGAGTGATGTCAACTTGACACTCTAGGAATCCCCCTCCCCCAAGTTTCTATGATATATACCATAGTAATTGGGGAAATTACTAGAGCCATCACCCGACACAGTGATATCATATCCAGTGATATCATATCCAAGTGACATTGGCACAGCATGCCCCATCTTCCCTGCCTTTGCTCCCAGCTTCAGAAGTTCTGGAAAGGTTGCCTGCCTGGCTTTATTGGATTTATACCCCGCCCTTTCCGGTGAAGTAGGCTCAGAGCGGCTTCCCTATACCTCCCTGATATCACCTTGCCCCCCAAGCATAGCAAGTGAAGAACCTGTAACGCAGAGATGGATAGGTGGGTCTAGGTGGACCCACAGAATACAGGGAACATTGATTCATGGCAATATTGGACTGGTGTCTGTCCTCCCTACGCACTCATGTTAAATCTAAAGGCCCTTTCACTTGTAACCCTGCATGCCAGCTTCTTGGAATACATCCCTCCAGCACTGAGTCAATTGCACTGGTTACCTATTTGCTTCCAGGACCCTTTCAAAGTGCTGGTTATCACCTTTAAAGCTCTTCGCACCCTGGGGCTCTCCTGCCATTCAGACCGCTACTTTCGATGTTGGAAATACTTAGGCTTGCCAATTTCCAGCTAAGGATGGGGATCTGCTGTCCCTATATCCTGTTGGTTGCCGCTGCTGAGCAAAGGGGTGGGAGGGAATGCCCAGGTGAAACGTGGCATTGTGCTGGGATCTCCAGCACAATGGCATTGCTGCTGATACAACTCAGAAGCGACATCGTCATGTGGGGTGAAGCTCTAGCAAATGACAGAGCATAACCTCAGTGTGTTTTGTAAGGCTGCCAATCTGGTTTGGAAAATTCCTGGAGATTTGGGAGGGGGGGTGCCAGAGGATTGCAGAGTATGGGAGGAGAGAACTCAGTGGGGTGTGTGTGTGTGATGCCACAGAGTCCACCCTCCAAAGGTGCCATCTCCTCCAGGAGAACTGATCTTTGTAGTCTTGAGATTAGTTGCAATTCTGGGAGAACTCTGGGCCCCACCTGGAGCGGTTGGCACTCTGGCACAGAGTCTCCTTTCAAGTGTACTTAGCAAAAACAATTGTGTCTGCAGTTAATATTGCTTATGAAAACACCCTTAGGGAATATACATCCTAACTTAAACCAGTTTTACTATCATTTCCAGAAGTCCAAAGATTTCCTTTCTAAGGATGTTCATGAATTTGTTCTCAATGCTGTAACATCTGCAAGGTTAACATCTGCTCAAAATGGGAAGAAGAATATAATTCCAAAGAAGGAGGGTTAGAAAAATTAGCAGAGTGTATTTGTTTGTGTAAATGAGCTTGTTTATGACATGGCCATATGTCTGATAAATTTGGAACACTGATTTTTTAAAAGAAGATAATTTTGAGTCTGTATATCTGATGTTTATAATAGCGCTGTAATATGTGTCCTGTATTTTAGTTCTTTATTTGTACTGGATTTATTCCTTTTCCCCTTTTTTATCAAATAAAACTTTATTTTTTAAAAAAGAGGTCCACAAATTTGCATTATGTACTATTTTTTAAAACATTCTTTAAGTGTTACATAAGACTTTTAAACCTGTGTTTCTTTTAAAAAACTAACACAATGGAACATTTAAATATTTTGAAAATGCATTTTGGGAAACAATGTTCTCAGACATGTTCTAAGTTTATAGTCTGAATTATCCCCAACCAACATAAAACTCAGATGCAAACTCTGGAATATTACGTATTTCTCACACCTTGAATAAAACTTGGTTGGTCTTAAAGGTGCCACTGGACTCTAACATTGTTGTATTTCTCGGCTGTATTTGGTAAGTGGAGCATGTGGGATCCTCATAGGAGATGATGTGCCTCCCCTTGGCTATAGTGGACAGTATTTTACTTAAAAGCAATTTTACACAATAGGAGTCTTCTTTTTTCTTTTCAGTTCATGACCACTTCGACTCTAATTCTGCCAAGTAAAATTCAGACCTGGGTATTGAACCCGTGGCCTGTTTTTTCTTTGTTTCCTTTCCTGGTGTCAGTTATTCCCCAGGGCATTGTTAAATGTAGATAAGAAGGCTCAATCAGGTTTTCGTTACAAGATGATAATCCTCCCCCCCCCTTCTCACTGTTGCCTGTTAAGTTAAATGAATTTTAGCTGAGGGTTGATAATTATCATAGAGAAGAAGGTAACACATTGAGAGTTCATTTTCCATCCTAGCACTTGCATCCTTTTGAATTCTCCACACCCTGACACCATTTCCCATTCTGTCACTTCTTCTTACACCACCCCTGCCTCCTCATAAAAGGGTCTCTTTAGACTGAGACCACAGGCTTTTTTTTTTTTTTTGCTGGCAGCTGACAGGAATTGCCTCTTTCTTCCAAATTCTTGTTCCAGAGAGGACAGATTACAAGAGACTTTGGTGAGCATGGAAGAAAAAATGAGCTCTGAGAATTCCCCATTCCTTTCTTCATGGGACTGGAAGAGCAATGCAGGAACTATGGTACTGAGACAGTGCCCATCTCCTCAGAGTCTGTCTCCATCTCCTTCCTTTGAATCTTTCTCATCCTCTCCTTGTCCGGTTGTTGTGGAGGTGCCCTGTGCCAGCAGCAGCAGCAGCAGGAGTGACAGCAGCAATAGCTTGATGGGCTATACCCTGGTGGAGTTTCCTGCCATCTATCTACCAAACCCTGGACAGGGCAAGGGCCAGAAGGGTCCCAAAGTCAGGATGTCTGCCCAGCGCAGAAGAAAAGCCAGCGAAAGAGAGAAGCTGCGAATGAGGGCCCTGGCTGAAGCACTGCACACTCTGCGCGACTATCTGCCTCCTATCTACAGCCAAAGAGGGCAGCCTCTCACCAAGATACAGACGCTGAAATACACCATCAAGTATATCGGTGAGCTCACAGATCTGCTGAACAGTGTCAAACAGGCACAGATGCCCTGAGGAGACTTGGAAGTTGAAGATCCTTCTTCTCAGACAGAGAAGCATCAGGTTCTCTTCCCACCCCTCATCCACACCCACAGGAAAAGGACAAAAACTTTCATTTTGGATAACAATGAACTTATTCCACAGAAGATTTTTTTTTTCTGCTATGAGGAGATGTATGACAACAGAGTTAAAGAGGACGTTGGTTTTTTGGATGCAGCAAAGAAGGAATACCTCAGATGATTCAGAATCCATCCAGCTGGCTGGCCACTGTGTGAACAGAATGCTGGATTTGATAGGCTTTGGTCGGATCCAGCATGGCTCTTATTATGTTGCTGGAATCAGAAACCATTTCTACAATGTTGATTCTGACAGGATTTATAGACCAAAATTCTTCTTGATAATCTTTCTTATTATTAATAGTTGACTCAATTTCAGTTATTGGGATGTGTTTTGAAAAGGTGACCCATGGATTCTAAATAAAATGTACATTTTAAATCATGTGTATTGGTTAGTAGGCACTTTATATTAGCAGCAAGAAGAAAGTATGTATACCTAGTTGAAGAATAGTCTTTAATAAACCTATATGCTACAGTAGAACAATAAAAATAATGTCTTTGACTGAAAGTAAAATTTTAAAAGGAAAATTTCCACCAAATTTCTTTCTACTGGTTCATAATACTGAGTAGCTATTTTCCTATTGTTATTATTTTTATTACTGTTACTGTTATTTAGAAGATGCTTTTCTTTTGTCAAATGTCAGTCATTTGTTCCAAAATTATTATTCTTCCAATAAACTGTACAATGTTTTAGGCCTATTTCAGCCAGAAAGCATTTACTCCTTTATAAACATGGGGCAGCTTTGTAATTGGCCATTGACAGTGCAATGCTGTACAAGTTACTCCAGTCTGAATTTATAGATGCCAGTGGGCTTTTTTTAAAAAATTAATTTTTTAAATCACAACTCCCAAACAAAATAGAAATAAAAAATAGCAAGATATAACATCAATGGTAGCAGGTCTACAGATAAGCATCTATAAAAGATTCTCAAATATCTAAAAATATGTCCATGTGCAACTGTTGCCTATATGTCATACGTTCAAATTTTAATAAGGTTGTAAATTCCTCAATCCATTGGATTATAGGAGGTGGGCATTTATCTCTCCAGTGTTGTAATATGGTGAGCTCCCCTTCACTGGCAATCTTTAAAGACTGGCTGGACAAAAACTTGTCAGGGATGTTCTAGGCTGATCCTGCACTGAGCAAGGGGGTTGGACTAGTTGGCCTGTATGGCCCCTTCCAACTTTGTGATTTTATGATTCTATGTGAGAAGCTCAGCTATCAACAACATTAATAATTAGGGGCACATTTTGGCAACAGTTCACAGTTAAGCCCCTTTGAAAACAATGGCATTTATTTACTACTTTTCTTCGTTTATATCCTACCTTTTTCCCAAGGGGAGGGGGGGACAGGTTACATTTTCCCTCCATTTTATCCTCACAACAACCCTGTGAGGTAGGTTAATCTGAGAGTGCGTGAGTGGCCCGAAATCACCCAGCAAGCTTTCATGAGATAGCCACAAGTAACTTTTTAAAGGTTGTACCCACCATGTAAGGTGCAAATTATTCACCAAGATATCCTGTGCCCCACAAGTGATATGTGTGGGCTTCTTTAAATGTGACAAAACGTATTGACAAAGCATGCTTCTGTCTATCAGATGATTAATACAGATAGGTTGCTCTATGTATAACCAAAGAGTGGCTCTCTGGCATGTGTACATATAATATACAGACAGGTACATTTGGCTCATGGGATAAGCTATGCATATATTGGATGTTATTTCTATTTTAAAAAACCTAGTTAGCATGATGTCATGCTTAAACTATGTCCCTACCTTGGTAATTTGCATGTTAGTATGTTGCATATGTGTTTTGTTTAATTCATTAATTTATACCTTGCCTTTTCCCACTGGGGACCCAAGGCAGCTTACATTATTCTCCTCTCTTCCATTTTATCCCCACAACAACCCTGTGAGGTAGGTTAATCTGAGAGTGCGTGACTGGCCCAAAAATCACCCAGCAAGCTTTCATGAGATAGCCACAAGTAACTTTTTAAAGGTTGTACCCACCATGTAAGGTGCAAATTATTCACCAAGATATCCTGTGCCCCACAAGTGATATGTGTGGGCTTCTTTAAATGTGACAAAACGTATTGACAAAGCTTGCTTCTGTCTATCAGATGATTAATACAGATAGGTTGCTTTATGTATAACCAAAGAGTGGCTCTCTGGCATGTCTACATATAATATACAGACAGGTACATTTGGCTCATGGGATAAGCTATGCATATATTGGATGTTATTTCTATATTAAAAAAAGCTAGTTAGCATGATGTCATGCTTGAAATATGTCCCTACCTTGGTAATTTGCATGTTAGTATGTTGCATATGTGTTTTGTTTAATTCATTCATTTATACCCTGCCTTTTTCCCACTGGGGACCCAAGGCAGCTTACATTATTCTCCTCTCTTCCATTTTATCCCCACAACAAACCTGTGAGGTAGGTTAGACTGAGAGAGTGTGACTGGCCCAAGGTCACCCAGCGAGCTTCCATGGCAGGAGTGGGGATTCAAACCCAGTTCTCCCAGATACTAGTCCGACACTACACCACAATGGCTGTCTTGTATTTGAAAACACAAGAAACACCTGCCCCTTAAATGTATAATATGTTTAATATGCACTATGATGGCTTCCTCTGTCTGAGAGTGACACGTTATTGTTAAGCACCAATATGAATTATGCAACTGATTTAAGTGTGCTCCAAGCTCATCAAGGAGAAAAAACATTCAGGCTGCATTCACAGGCAGCCTGTGATGCCCAAGGTCCAAGTGATCTAAACTGCAACCCAAAGTAACTTTGAGTGGAGCATTCCAAATGGTATCGCCTTCCTTCAGGGTTACAGCTTACAAAATAATCCATGCTAATTATGGTATCTCCCTCAGAGCCCTGTGTTATGTCCCAGCTTGCCCTGGGTGGTATGCCATATGTATGGTGAGACAGCATTCTCAGACATCATAAACCAGTCTCTAAGAAGTGAGGTGTTTAAAGTGAGGTCATTCCTAACCTGGGAAAATTTTGTCACATCTCAAAGTGCTGTTAAGTGTCCGACAACAGAGACTTTAAAAAATAAATTGCATATCATAAGAAATTCTCTCTTAAAACACATTAAAATCATTTTTAGATCCACATATAATCACTTCTGAGAACCTTTCCTATTCCTATTGCATGGAAAGGTTCTCAGAACTTAAGAACATAACAGAAGCCAATATTGGATCAGGCCAATGGCCCATCCAGTCCAACACTCTGCCTTACAGTGCCCAAAAATACCAGGTGCCATCAGTGGGGCCAGGGCACTAGAAGTCCTCCCACTGTTGACCCCCCCCCAGCACCAAGAAGACAGAGCATCATCACTTGCCCCAGAGCCCCTATCTATACCTTGTGGCTAATAGCCACTGATGTACCTCTGTTCCATATGCTTATCTAATTCCCTCTTGAAGCCGTCCATGCTTGTAGCCGCCACCACTTCCTGTGGCAGTGAATTCCATGTGTTAATCACTCTTAGGGTGAAGAAGTACTTCCTTTTATCCGTTCTAACCCGACCACACAGCAATTTCATGGAGTGCCCACGAGTTCTTGTATTGTGAGAAAGGGAGAAAGGTACTTCTTTTTCGACCTGTTCTATCATATAATCAGAAGACAACATCCCTGGGGATCCAATTGCATCCCTGCAAATGAATATTTAGAAATCCTTCCAAGTTATAGCCTATCATTCACCTTCAAAATGTATTCAGAGCCTAGACGTTCTAATCAGCATAACAGTGAGTGCCACAATAGTCTTCTCAAATGCCCCTTTCCTTCTCCTCCCCACTGAAAAAACAAGCCTCCCTCCCCCTATTTCTGTAAACCTGCTGAAGTCTTAATTTACTTTTAACTTTCCGGTAATTAGTGTCACAGGCCACATCACATGGCAAAGTGAGAAGGAAATATTTGCATTGGCAGTTTTCCTTGAAATTGATTTAGCATGACCCCTTTTTGCCTTCCACTATAAGAATGGGGAGAAGAATCTGTATGCTGATGCAGTGCAGATGGGAACGGTAAAGAACAGAATAAAGGGAGTGCTCTCCCCCCCCCCTTTAGGACATGGCACATTTTAAAGATGTGCCATGCATTTATGCAGAATAATTGGAAGTGCACATCACACTATGGAAAAAGGTGGTTGGGATGGGAAGGGGGGCTAATGAGAGATTCTTGGATTTAGCATCGTTAGCCTCTAGTGAGCACATAGGATTATGCCTTCATACTGCGTGTGATTATTCCTGAGATTATCAATAATTGCTGGGTTATACGATGAGCAAAAAGGTAACAACAAAAACCCTCCTAAATGGCAGAGCTTTAAATTTGTTTATTGGAAATAACCTAGAAGGCATATGGACCTGACTGTGAATCCCCCTCCCCTAAACACCTGCTTGGAAATAATTTCCAGATTATCCATTTGTACCTTGTTCCACACACACACACACACACACGCACACAAAAGTATATTTTGTTTTTTTGGGGGGGGTTTGGCCAAGGGATCTTTATTCTACTCTATCTTCAAAAGCAGTTTAATTAAGATGGAGAGTAAGCCCAATTGAATAAAATAGGGCTTGCTTCTTTATTTACTTCATTGCTACCCTGCCTTTCTCGCTGTTGGACACCTGAAGCAGCTTACATTGTCATCTCCTCCATTTGATCTTCACAACAATCGTGTGAGGTAGGTCGTCCTGCAAGCTTCCATGGCACAGTGGGGATTCTCCCAGACACTCTAACCATCACACCACGCTGGCTCTCTTCTTAGTAGACCGGTATGGGACCCCCCACCCCTGGGGATGCAGCCTGTACCATCGCCAAGAACAGAACAATTACTTCAGCTCTGTATTGACTACAAAATAACAACTCATAGGCTATGGCCTCTACCAAT